AATACCGAATTTGTCAATCGAAATGTTTTCGTTTTCAATAACCTCTGGGTCATCTTCACTATCGGAAGCGAATTATAATGACGAGGAACTTGATTTAAATCATATCAAAGACGGAGTAGATCGAGATGAAATACTGCACTTAGTACGGAATTATAAACCAAATAAAATAAAAACATCTGCCCTGAAGATAAGGATAGTGTTGACAGATCAACTTCCAATCCGCTGTGTGAAATTGATAAACAGATTTCGGATTTCAAAACATACTTTCGCTTTGTAGATACAAATTACATATTAGTAAATATATATCGGAAATTATATTTGACATAATCTTTCTAATCTATCATAATCTAATAATGACGTTTCTGCCCCCTCTTCTGCCGCAGAGCAGCGTGAAATTGATAAACATATTTTGGATTTCAAAACATACTTTCGCTTTGTAGTAAATATATATCGGAAATTCTATTTGACATAATCGAAAGTTCAAGCTTACTTTTATAAAATTGCTCTAACAGTCTGCAAAAAATAATAAGCCGGATCCAATTCGAAGATTAAGGAACAATGCAATCTGCAACATTAACTGAATTAGATAATTTTAGCTTAGCGTATAACTCCGTTACACATTAAACGCGCATGCGCACAAACATATTCGCAGCCGTAAGGGTCTTACGCGCTCTCGTAAACGCCTGTGCGCATGCGTGAACGCGACATGCGCAGAAAGTTTGTAGCTTTGAGGTCCGGATTATGGGTGTCCGAATTAACGACTTTTGACTGTACCATTCTAAAAGACATTGGAAAAAAATAAATTGAGAGTACTGGTGCTTCAAAAGAAAGAAAAAATTGGATCTATTTTATTTAAGTCATGTAATTTGTTTTTCAAATTCAGTTTGAATTTACATATAATACTTATCAGTTAGGTGTAATCTTATACAAAAATGAAGTATTGAAATAGAAATTTGATAAATTTCTGTTTAAATGAGCAATGAGTATTCATTTTACTTTCTCACACATTGCAATGTTCTGCATTTCATGAACTGCATGACAAAGATTGACCCTTACTCATCTAAGAGATTTATAAATTTTCTTCCTATATGCATCTTAAAGCAGCAAAATATCTCAATTTATGTATTTTTTGGCCACTTTACTGTACATAAATCCAGATTTACAGTACATGTTCTCTAATTTCAAAGGACTTTTCATTCTACAGAAGTGCTCTGGGATGAAATGCTCCTTTCCATTTTTATACATGGATGTTGTTGTCTATGATAGTATTGTCCACTAGCCAGGAAGTGGTTTTAAACATCCAAAAAGTGCTATTTTTCCTCTGATGTTATTTCTGGTTGTTGAATGGACTGGATGCATGTTATTTTGTAGTTTTTCTTATGCACTGTAGATATGACCCAATTTCGTTTAGAAATCTCTTTACAGAGACTTGTCTTCTTTAACAGTCTTGTGACTTGACATATTCAAACAATTGAATCCAGTTTATCCCTACCTGTTCTTCATCTCTGTGTTGGAAATAAGTTTCATTGCTATTTTTTTTAGTTGTCAAACATTGTACTGCTATTATTGCAATTACTATTATTTTATGATTACTCCTGAATATAAGAACATGGCTTATAAAAGAAAAAAACATTCATTGGAAGAAGAAGACTTCTGAAAAACCCACGATGGAATATGATCTTAACTGTTGAAGAAAGAAAAAAAAATGTTTTGAGAGCTTGAATTCTAAATCTCATTTTCTATTTTGTTTACACCCATTCATCTTTCACATTAGTTTTAAAATGTTTCCTTGAATCACTAATAATATTACTGTATCACTAGCAATATCATAAAGATCTTCTGTTTGTTTTAATTTTTATTTATTTATTTTTTATTTGGACTGTATTAGTTATTATTTTGATCCTCTAAATTCTGCATTGTAAGAGTGTTAAGTAGTTGTAATATTCATACTGTATTGTGCTATGCTTTTAGAAAATGGAATTTTTTATCAGTTTTAACTTTTTACATCATGTTCATAGGAAATTACTTTTTTTCAAATAATTTATCAGCAAATTGAATGAAAGTAAATACATGTGTGTTGATTTGAGTTTTGACTAAAAAATATGTTATGATACAATGTTACACTACTGAAACTTTGTCTTCTTGAAATTCTGCACAACGTTTCTCAGAATTCACATATATTATTAAAATTCAATGTAATGTATTTTTGTAGTGTTCAAATTCTGTGTAATTTTATTGTGTTTAAAATCAAGCAGATGAATTTATCTTGTATAGAGAACTTTTATTATATTTATGCATTTGTTAATATTCCTTTCCATGAAAAATCTGGTTTAGAAAAAAATTAACTTATGTGTCGGCATGTATATTCCAAAATATGGACTAAATGTTTAAGTGTAGCCTCTTTCTATAGAAAATGGAAGAAATAAGTTCCATGTTCTGTGCTTAAAAAGTAATCACTTTTAGAATGGAAATGTTGAAGTACATGTATGAAATATTATGTAATTAGTTGGAAATCATGTATGCTCTTGAAAATAAAATAATATTGGTTTCATAGTTTAATAAATTCATATAATTTGGTTGCTGTTTTGCCATTGACAATGTGCAGTAACAGCTCCTGATATCTAAATTTTGCAAAACAAGACATGTGATTGTCAGCCTCTTGTGAATTTTGTGTGTACTGAAATAGACAAGAGCTAGTAATGGCTGTCAATCCTTTCCTTTGCCATGGTTGCCCAGCTATTAAAAATTCTATTTTGAGACAATAATATAAATTTTTATTAATTATTAGAAAATGAAGGAACTGATAAGCAGTTGGCTTTTAGTAACTTCTGTGCACATCCGAGCATAAGTCTGCCTTTTATGCTGTATCTTGTCTTCAAATAAGGTGAAGTATATAACATGTTTTGCTTAGAAATGGTGCTTACATGAGCAACAGGAATGAAATTTATCATTAATAATAGTATGTAACATTTTTAGAGAACTTATGTAGTTACATTGAAAGAAATTTCAAGAGCATTATATAAACTTTGAGAACATTATATCTGTAGCATGAAATTCATCAGTAATGGATTGGAGTAACACTTTTTATTGAGATAATGAAAAAGCATGAGCTACAGCACTCATTACGTTACAGGGGAGTTCAAAGTTAGCACTGGCAGACTATCAAAAGCACTTTAAGTCATAGCACTCTGACAGATAAGCAAGTGGAGCTAATAAAAGCAGTAGTAACATAAAACTGCATTTCAGAATATGAGACGTTAAAATATAAAAATAACAAAACCTCTTCAGAATGATTAATCCTCAGTACAAGAAAACTGACTTCAGAATTGTCTTTTTCCATGCACACAATGAATTAATATGATATACTATTTTAACATTATCAAAGCAATTACCTTTTCCTTGACTAAACATTGTATTTCCATTCATCGAAATTATTTGCTCAAGAATGGAGTTTCTATGAAAATTAATCACCAGGCTTTTTGTTGACAAATGTGAATTGTGGCTTTAAAAACTATACACCAACAATTATATAAATTACTTACACATTTAAGACAGTGATGATTATAAATCACTGTACTCCATTAATGTCATTTGAATTCATAGCTGTATTGCCTTTTTAATTTTGATACCCCGAATTTTCCTGCATTTTTCGTGCTGTCAGCAAATACATGTCCTAATTTCTTGAAAAAGAAGCAAGGTGCTGTATTTTTGCCATTTGAAATGTTAAGTGTGGATGAAGAGTATGATTTTTAAGTTTTGTTTCCATAATTTGTATCAGATTGTTTGGTTTTGTTTTTACAAGTGTGCTTTTCCAGAAATTTTTTCTTAATTAACGGTACAGTTAAATCTTCTTCTGCCCCAGTTTCTAAAGCTGTTATTAATGTGGCATTATTTTCAGGTAAGCTACTTAAAATAAGTACAGACAATATATGTTCTAATTTTTTTTTCACCTAACAATAAACAAGAAATTCCACTTTCATTAATAATCGCTCATTTGCTTGACTTTTTCGTTATACTGTTTAAGTTCCATGTTTTCTTCACAGTTATACACTTTTAGATATGTCCTAATTTGTTTGAGTTGATCTTTAAATAAAACCCCAATAGTTGCTCTTGCTTTTCTGTCTTTTGAAATCCATTTTGTAACTAATGCAGATGGGAATTATAGAGTAAAAATGTTCTATAAATTTTCCGTAATCAGCACAGATTTTCGCTTAAATTTCCATGTATAATAATTGTTGTGATTCAGTGTTTTGCTGAAAATTTGACTTTGATCTCTAGACAACATTAAACAACATTAATGCATTTTCATTATGAAAGGAGAGGGAGATGAAGTTAGTCAGTGATCACAGGTGTTAATCTATGTTACTGATTGTAAATCCTGATACATTTATTGAAAGTTGTCTCCTGGGCACTGACACCCATAACCTGTAACATTAAATTCATGCAAAATGGATTACACTTAAATATTTTATTAGGAGAATAGAAAAACAGGACAATAGCAATGCTGTGCTGTAGTTCAAAGGTAGCATTTGTGCTGAAGTTCAAAGGTGCCAAACGAAATGCACACATTTTATCACAGTGTTGACTGATGAGGAAACGAAGCTAATAAACAAGAACTCTAATCATACCTTCTCAAGAAATAAGAGATTAAATTGTAAAAGCAAATACAATATTATAGGCAGTGTCCCCTCCCCACCTGTAATGCTAGGTGTGATAAATGTGTAGTGCTGTAGAACACATTTCAACTTCTGTGGATGTAGAGAAACAAATCTTTTAAAGAGAGAAATGTATTTTTCTCATATTTTCGTTAAGAAAAGATAAATATTCTGAAGGATAGAAATAGCTAACTTCCTCAAATTAATAGTCGGAGAAAAAAGAAATTCTTTCAGCATTTATTTTTTTTTTATGATATTTAAAACCTATAAAAATATTTTCTATTAGTATATGAATTTTATATTAAGACCTGAATTTTTAAAAAAATCACTTGCTTATATCTTCAGGATGTTACTAATGATGTAGAGGAGGAGCAAAGTGAACCTGACAGTGACATGATGGTTGTTGAAGAGGAGGTAATTTTCCATTCTTTGTCTAAAAAGTTTATAACAGTTCATTGTAGTTCATAATATATCCAAATTTTTATTTCCAATTTTTTACCGTAATGTAATGATGAATTATTACAGTACTTTTCAGTACTCTGTATATTTTTTTCTTTGAAGAAAACGTGAATTTTGAATCTGGCTGCAAATGTTATAATATGTGAAACTTTAACAAGCTTAGAAATTTCAGTAGTGAAGAGTACTGCAAAAAATATCTCTTTGTTGTTTATATGTTATTGTTATCCCACTTGTGCTACATATATATAGAAATAATCGGAAACTAGTTTTAATTCATAGTGATAAGATTCATGGATAATTTAGTGGAATAGATCAAGAATTCAACAATGATAAATATTTTGCTCGCAGCAAAAGACAAGGGGATTTACTTTAGTGTAATCTTTTTTTTAATATAAGTTTAGTAAAGAAAAACTAGTAATTTTAATGATTTTTTTACCTTCTAAGAATCAAAACATGATTGGCTATCCATTTTGGAAGCTCAGACAAAATGCAGAAAAGTTTTCAAATTTGAAATTTTACATATGCAACTGGGGAAAAAAAAATGAAGCCTTTAATGTAAATGTTGGTAGAATATTTCATAAATTGAAATTTTAAAAATTAAGATGCTACAATCCAAGGAATTAAGTGTTGGAAGTGGAAGAATAAAGGCATATATCATTTATCACATTTTAAAGATCTCACATTATTTTAAATGCTGTATATTTGCTGCTAAATATTTTGCTTGAATTTGGTATAGCTATATGAGTTTAGATTCTGTTGTCTAATTGTTGGAATATCTGTTTCCTTTTTGTTTTGAAACATAAATTTTTATAATGCATTTATAATGCAGAAAATTTATTTTTGTAAATCTGTTCATGTGCACAAATAATAAATAATATCCTTATCTTTTGTGAGTTATATTTAACTAAAATTTCACATAACTATTCTCTCCAAGAGTCCTTTCATTTCTTTTTATTTTAAAACGGGAGTTTTCATGTATAAACACATTGATATTATTTCACATGACTGTAAAATGTTATGCAGTTTCAAATTGTTTTAATAAAATTTTTCAAACTCATAGAGCATTCTTTTTTTTTTTTTTTTTCTTGAATTGACACAAAATCAAAGGATTTTAGTATTATAACATATTTTGTAAATGTTTTCCTTCTTTGGTGCTTTTGTCTAATATTTTTCATATTTTGGTAAAGAGTGCATTGCATGTTTATTGTAGCTTTGTTACGAGCAACTGTACAATGTGCACTTCTATTTAATTAAAAGTAACTCCTTTTTACAGACTGGTAAAGAGCATGAAACAAGATCACGGTCTCAACATTGCCGTCGTGGAAGGTCGAGAAAGTTTCTTGAAGGAACATCTAGTGTAAATTAAATTTTAGTTAAAATTTTTGAAATTATATATTTAAAATGAATTGTTTTGAAAACTGTGTTTTCAGAAACAAGGATTTTAGTGCTATGTTAAGTAGATGTTTTATAAAGTCTTATATTTGCATTTTTTGCAGTGGGCTTTATTTCTTACTCTTATGAAATTATACATTATATATTTACTATTTTCTTTTTGCAGAGGAAGGAAGATCAGGAAACATTACTGCAATCGCAACATTGTCATGTAGGTTTGTCAAGAAAGGTTCTTGAAGGATTGTTCAATGTAAGTAAAATTTTTTCAGTTCTTTTACAGTTATTTAATTAAAGTAATTTATGTTTCCAAAAACAGTATAATATTGGTAATAATTCACTGCATGATCCATGTGAAGCATATGGCATGTGAAAGTCATCTTTTATCCTATTCTGCACTTTTCGTATATCAGTATCTAGTTTAGGATATTGCATATCTTCTGAACTTATAAAAACTATCATTGAGAGAAAAAGACATTATTAGCGAAGTATAGTAAATGATTTTCTTTTTCCCTAATACTTCTTTTGCAGAACTTTGGGAATTACATAAACTCGTTCCTATTTCAATAGCTAGCATGCTTGATTCTGTCAAACATGGTCATTTATTTTAAAGTTTAGTTTAGATTGATAGGTTATAATTATATAAAAGAGAGAAAATTAGTGTATATTAGATGTAAAGTTGTAATTGGTAAAATGTTCTTTGAAAAGTCATGTGACTTTCTGTCCTTATTTTCTCACATTTTACATTTTTCTGTATCTCATGTAACTACTCTGAGGTTGAAAATTTGTTTACTGAAATATTTGAAAAGTTTCCAGCTGCTTGCATCATGAACTAGTGAATGTTTTACCTTCAATCGTGAGTTTTCATTATACTTCATATGATTTAAATTTTCTTTTGTGCCTTAGTCAGAACCATTTCACCACTCAGATTCACTAATAATTTACTCAACAGGTTCATATTCTTTTCTACTTGCACAGCCAGCCCTCTTTAAAAGTAGCTTCAGTGGCTTAGCTGCTTAGACCTATCGTGTGTCTTGCAACTTAATGATTGCAAGATTTTAAGAGTAGTGTTACAGGAATAAGAAAGTGAAATAGGTATTAAGGAAACATAAAGTAAGGAGATAAATAAAAGATTATATGATGTCTATAAAATAAAATCACATATTAAAATTTTTTAATTCATTGCAGCATTTCAGTTCCTTCTCATCACAGGCACTGTGAAAATTTGGCCATTCATAAATTTTCTTTCAAAATTCAATGAATCAAATCAATTTGTATTGCATCAGATCTTTTACACCATTGCTGAGAGAAATGGAAATTTTATTCCATACAAAAGAGAATGCATGTCATAAGGTGGGAAATGATGAAGACAATATATTATTCTTTATATGATTAGTCAACTTTTATAAAACCTGCCAATAACTATGTATTTTTTTCCCCCTTAAATTTTGGAGTATTTTATTTTATCTTTTCCTAGTCTTTTAGTGCCATTTGACTCTGCTTGAGGCAAAGCATGTGAAGATTATTTGGCAATGCTAAAAGTACCTTCAAGAAAATCTTTTTAAAGAAAACTGAATATTATTCTTATTGCAAATATAAAAACCAACTATGCTACCAGCCTGTTTGCATAGGTTCAACCCTAGGTCAAATTACCTGTAGTCACTGCTCTTTAATCACTTCACCATTAATGGGACCTACTTAAGATTCAGTATATCCACTGTGATATTTTGCTGCTCAAGTTTTAAAATGTTTCTAAACGGGATCATGGCACAGCATAGACATTATCATTGACAATGCCTATGCTGTAGCTTGCTGCTGCATTTTCAGGGGGATATTATGACATAAAATTTTTCACTTTAATTCCCTTTCACAAATTTCGTGAATCAGAGAACCCAAACATAATCATATATTGCATTTTGTTCTTGTGAAAAACCATTCTCCTACAATCACTTATTGTTGCTTTTGCTGAAGTCATTTCAATTTTTTCCTCATTGAGATAATTTTAATGGTGTTTAGTATTCTTCCTCATCTTTTATGTTAACTTTCAATCATGGTGTTTTGGGAAACAGTATCATAAATAACAAAGAAATACTCAAGTTAAAGCCCTCAAAATCTATGCCTGCAGCACACTTTGGTCATGATTTTCACCAGACCAAATTTGTGGTCATATAGCAAGTGAGTGCTCATTTATTAAAAGATTTTTGAGTTTATGTTTAACAGCTAGTCTCAGTCATTAATTAGTATAAAAATAAAAGTTTTTTGTATCTTTTAAAAGCATTTAGAAATATTTGTGATTTTTCTGAAATGTGCTGCAAAATTATGATTTCTAAGCTTTTTTTAAAATATTGATACAAACTTTTGTAATTATGAAAATATTAAATAGATTTTGTAAAAGGTTTTAGCAGTATGAAATTTCATTTTCAGAAAATCTTTGATGGTTTGTTTTTCCTCTGCAGGAAATGACTCTGGAAAATAACACCAGTGTACCAGTGTCACCAAGAAAATGTGTAGCCAAAAAATCAACTGGGACACGAGCTATTCAGTCTAAAAGCCAACAACAAGTAACTAAGATTAAACCTTTTTTTCCCTTAAATATTTGCTGCTCTTTTTTTTTTTTTTTTTTTTTTTTTTTGTTGGGTGTGTGTGTGTGTTTATGCTTCTATGCGTAGTTGGAATTTTTATTATACACTGGTGTGCAAAAATTAAGGGCGAGACGGTTTTTTCAATATAACTTTGCACAAAAGCTTTTCCAAAACACATTTATACGTAAGATCCCCAATATGTAGGACATGAGTAATGTAAGCCAACACTAAAATAGAAATCAGAGGGATAAAAAGAAGCTTATTGAAAAAGTAGCGTGGAGCGCAATGCGACTGAAGACCGAAAATCCTGTGATGGGCTCCAGCAAGAAACATCTGGTCTTTAATGGGGATATGATCTCCCCTGACTGCTAGGCAGGTTCACAGCATCTGCCCATTGCTGAGAATGAGGGTGTCAATGAGTTGTTGAGCATGCTGCCCATTCGTCTTGCAGCGCCAATCGAAGCTCCAGAATCATTACTGGTGGTAAGGTACGAGCTGCCAAGCGTCTGCGTAGAAAATCATACATGCTCGATGGGATTGAGATCCGGAGATCGTGACGGCCCAGTCCATAGTTCAATATCCTCACTCTCTAAGAGCTTTTCGGCAGCTACTGTGCATGACCATGGTGCATTGTCCGTCCATGAAAAGGAACTTCGGACCCATAGCGCCTCTAAAAAGACGCACATATGGAAGAAGAATCTCGTTACTATAACGGGTCCCGTTGACCGAACCTGCGTTGAAAATGTGAAGGTCTGTACGACTACCAAGCATGATGCCTCCCCCCAACGAGAACACCGCCACCTCCATACTGTCCTTTCAATGATGTTCGAGGGATGATTGCGGCTTCCCCGCTCTCTCCAGATGAGTATACAATGAGAATCGCTACTCAGACTGAATCTGCTCTCATCTGTAAAGAGTATTCGTCCCCATTCATTGTCTCTCCAATTCCGGTGTTCCCGGCACCACAGAGAACACCTTCTCCGATGGGCAGGCATTAGAGGTACACACCGTACAGGGCATCGTGCAAACAGACCACCACTGTGCAGTCTTCTGGCCACGGTAAAACGCGATATCGGTCGTCCAGTCGCCTGTGTCGTGTGTCTAGCGATTTCTCCCGCGGTCTGCTGCCTGTTTCTTCTGGCCTGTAAGGCAATATACCGGTCATCTGTGGCTGTGGTTCCTAGTGGACGACCACTACTAAACTCCCGGATAGCTGTTCCTGTAGTTTGAAATTGTCTCCAAAGTCGTGAAACGATGCTGTGAGCAATTCCGAACTCTGCAGCCGCACTTGTCACACTGCGGCCTTCCTCAACTTCCCAATGATTTCGTCCTCGGAGTAAATCATCCAGATGTCGTCTAACAGATTGATTATTCGCCATTTCTTGCTGAGGCAGCAACTCGGTGTGATTTTAACTGCTATACGCTGTACAATCTCTTTGCCAGAAATACTGATCTTACACCGACAACATGCTTTATACTACTCAGACACTCCCCCATTACGTCTACCTGCATATCTGCACATGTGCTACCGTACATCACCTTACTTAATCTCCTGATTGGTCTTTCTGTCCGCTCTGCCTCTTCGTTCAGCTGATATGCTAATTTTTCGACTTCGTCCTTAATTTTTGCACACCAGTGTATTTTCAAATTACATTTTACTTAAAAACTTAATATTGGCTTCAGAAGAAATAATAAAAATAATGGTATGGTTCTATGTATATTTAGAATTCTTTTGCTTATCTTTTTTCTCGCTTTTTTCTGTGATGTTGTTTATAGTAACTATATATTTGAAAAATGTCTTATGTCTTGCATATCTTGTGTTGCTTTGAAGTACATTAATAGAAGAACACTTGATTAATAGAAGAATTATTTATAGAGCATAAAAAGTTTTGTGTATGTTATTTAATTTAAATATATATATTTCAAAAAATGAATAAGCTGATTCACTGCTTTTCACATCCCTTTTAAAAACAGTTAACTTGAAACTTTTGAAGACATTGACTGTGGCAGTATTTTTATGTATCTGCTGCTTGCTATACATTGAGTTAAATATTTTGTTGTGTATGTAGACACTGGTTTTATTTAAGACTTCTTAACTTTTATTTGCTGTTAAAAGTGTCAGAATTCTGCATAATCTATGCAGAGTCTTTTCTTTATCATTACCTCACCATACTTTTGTATTTTCTCTCCCCTCCCTCTATTGAGGATGCTTTTAATGCATCTGCAATTTGTGCTATGTCATGAATTGATTCTTTCAAATAATGCTGTGATACTAAGGAAACTTTCTAATCTAAGGAATATTTTATAGGGTGGAATAAAGGCTTTATACATACAGGTATACCTCATGTAACATGGTAGAATTAATTTTAAATAGCAGGAAATTTTTCAGAAGTTCTTGTTGTCACCACTTTAAGAAGGAAATAATAAAATATTATATATTGAACTAGAAAATTGGTAAATTTCTCTTTAACTCTTTCAGTATGATAGGTGTAAATTTTCATATGAAAGAGTGGCTTTTGCATTCATTACACATGAAAATTTCTGCCGGCCTTTAATGCATCCAGTTTCGGTTTCGATGTATATTGGAGGAAAAGGAATCAAGGTACAAAATGAGAGAGCACAAATTAAATTGTTTCTCAAGGATGTAAAAGTGCTGCAACTGTTTTTAAGGAATTATTATCCACATCTAATGTTTTCAATATACATATATGTAATACATTTCGAACTAAATCCACAAAGATGTAACACTAATGAAATTTAAAACCAGTATAAGCCCGAAATCTCTCACAATATGTAAAAAAAAAAAAAAAAAAAAACCATCATCTCAGCATTTTTAAATCAGAAGAAATCCCCCAAACAACAGGAATACTTAAAAATACATAAAATGGATGGAAAGGAAAAGGAGTACAGTTAAAATCTGATTCAAGGTAATCAAGAGGAGGTAGATCAGATTCATTTGAACTCCACATCCTAGGAAAACCAGTGTGTTTCTGTTAATCCAAAATTAGCTGATAAACCATTTTAATTATTTAATCGTAATAGTTCATCTGAGAATTTGGAGTGCCTTCTCTACACATAATTTTATTCCTTGATAATGCACATCATCACTATGGGTGTGCTACGCACCCCACATTTTTATACAACTTACATTTCTTAAACCAAGGACTAAATTGGAAGAGTAAACACTGCTTGGATAGCGACAAGGTGACACAGTGAAAAGAAGCAGAAGAGAAGAGTGGAGAGAGGGGGAGTTATGAGGCAACTATCTTTTACACTGAATTACATTTCAGATGACATGACAGATTAATGTCCAGATGTTGGGTTCAGATTTCATGGATAAGTAAACATCAGAAACTGCAGGGAGTTTAGTTAGAAAACTTATTGCTCTGTTATTTTTGGAATGAAAACGAAAGTGAAAGGGCTATTATTGATTTATTATTTGAAAGATAGATATTTTATATTTTACATATTCTACCCCTTCAAGAAGAAATGGTTTGGTGAAAGAAAAGGTGCTAAAGCATTAGCAAATCTCTAAAAATGCTTCAGCACTTTTAGAGAAAAGGTGCTAAAGCATTAGCAAATGGAGAGAAATAACTTAAAAATCCAAAATAATTATTTACATAATTATGAAAATCTGTGTCATTAATTTGTATATGTTTAATTATAATAAGTATATGTTTAATTATAATAAGTAATGGTTATGTAGAAATGTTTGTGATACTCTGTGATAACGAAAATTTTCCCTGAAGAATCATGATTATGTGAACTTTAAACCAAAAAGACTTTTGAATTGAAATGCTTTGAAATTTAATAGGACTTAAAAAAATTAATTTATTTTTAAAAATTGATATTTATAAATTATACTTTACAGTTATTTATTTAATTATTGCTGAGCAAAATTTTATGAGTTACATTTTTCTTCATTTGCTAGTGCTTTAACGCATTTTCTTTAAAAAGGCTTCTCTGTCACTATGCCTTTTTCTCCTTGCAGGGAGGAAATATGTGTGAAAAATAAAGAATATGTAAAATATTAAATTAGCTGAATAAATTAATTTCCCTTCTCTATTCTAAAAATAGTAATCTCTCTGCACTGTGTCATTTCGAGATTAATCCATGTCATATGACTCTTACATAATTCTGATGATGTAAATGGAACTAAAACTCAAACGGCCAATAGTAATTTTACAGCAGTATTAACAATCCAATCAAAATGCATTGAGAACTAAAACTAACTCAGTTTGAATAAAGATTTCGCCCTGAACATCATGCAATTGCTTTCTACGCTTTAGCCTAGCTGGACTGCAGTCTATTTGCTCCTTCTTTCTTATCAAATTTATCAAAAATGTAAACTTTTTTGGAATAGGCATTTAATGTTTTAAGTACACATTAGAATGCTTGATAAAATCTTGCAAAGTTAGATACAGATTCTTCATAATCAAGTTAGAATTTATTTACACAAGTTTACTTATGCTCACCGGGAAATATTACAGCATTTCCAAAATAGAAACAATAGGAACTTTGAACGGACTACATCCGAGTATCAAGTCCAGAGTGTCAGTGAACTCCAATGCCTGTCCGCTTCTGCTCTCCTCAAGTTGCGTCACCACGTTTCCTCCTTTGTCTTCATTTGATGCGCACCTTTCAGGAAATGTAGCCCGGTGATTGCTTACAGGCATAAATAATGTGTTAACTTGTTAGTGGCCGCAACATGTTTCTTGAACTAAAAGTTGAATGAAATCTACCTCGACTGCCAAATTTCTTATTCATCGTGAACTGGAGTTTCAACATCAAAATTCCTGCTGTTCATTACATCTAAGATTGTTTCTATTACATATATATATTACCAAAAGAAAGAGGGGGTTGAAGAATGTTCTTAATCTAGCTGCAGCTGTTGTTATATGTAAAGTCCTAATTCATTTTAGGAATTTTTAACAGAAAATGACAGGTCGCAAAACATTTCTTTGTAGTGCATAAATGATTCATTTTCCCTTTGTTGTATATATATGAGGCATATTC